CTTTGCTATTTTATATTCAGGCAACATAGCCTCCTCATAGTTAACATGGCTGTTCATCAATAACATGCACCAAACTCTGTGACTGTGACATGATGAACAGGTGACTTGATATCACTGCACGACACCAGAGGCATCAAATGGTTCTAACTTTCTTCTCTGTCTTGGGAAGGAGACCTGATTTGTGATTACTCTGCTACTCAGAGTTTTCCTTCATTTTCCTTCTACTTCCTATTTAAATTTTACTTTGCATTGTAATAGGATGTCCTTGTGTTCACATCGCCACAGGTGTACCAGTTTTTTCCTATTGGAGTTTAAACTATTTTTAAATAATACCCATGTTCTTGTGGGTTTAATGGGACAGACTTCTGTTGATGTAAACCAGATAGAATAATAATGACAATGCAGAGCATTTTTCTAGTTAATTTGCATTTGTAGCTATAGTTGGAATTTGACGGTTTTATTTCTGATTGCTTAGATTCTTCCACTATTGCATCAGCATGATTCTGCTCATGTTATTTGATGTGATGCAGGATTCAGTTAGAACAGTGACTTTCTAAATGTGAATCGAGAGCATCTGTGATGTATACAACAAACATTTGTATGCCTACCATCTATGTATTTCAGTTAGTAATATACTGGCATATAGAGACAATAACATCAAAAAGATTATACTGAAAAGATGTCTTCCATCTATCTATCTGAAAGTAGAAAGTACAGCTTTCTACTTACATATGAGTAAAACCCCAAAATTCCCTCTTTCTGACCAAGTCTAAATAAGCACCTGTCAGACCTCCTGTCGGCACGTCCCAGGGAATGTTTATGATATAGCTTCTGTCCTCTGTTCTACTCTGGTGATGGCAGAAGTCATAAAGTTTTATCCTATGGCATAATACCCTCTTTCCTGATTTGCACCCCCACTGTGGAAATATGAGCATTTTCAACATTATCTTAACTGTAGGGCTGCTCAGAAAGGGATTCTAAAGTCACAACTCACATTATCATTTATAAATGAACTTTACACATATTATTATAAATGAATTATTTCACATATTTCACTTTTTTATATGCCCCAGACTTCTTGTCCTCCAGGCCCCCTCTAGGTCCAGGCCCATAACTCAGGAAAGTAAGTAGCCAGCTGTTTCTGTGGGAGTAACGGGGGTGAAGCTGGCTTTGAAAAGGAGTTTTTAAAGTAAATTTAGGAAAAATATTGTAAAGATAAATATCATCTACAGACATGACAGTGCTTTAGCTGATTTACCTCTTGTGTACCTCTTTAGCTGACATACACTAAAAAATTTGGGCAGGAAAGCAAGTACCTGTCACTTTAGGTAATTCACAAGGATACAAAATAGCAGATAATATATCCCACCTTTGTTTATCAGAATGGAGAAAATTACACACAAAGCTTAACAGAGTTCTCTTCTGATTCAATCCATTTTGTCTTATTTAGCACCTTAACCAAAGTTAAGTCAGTGTAGATAAAGGGTAAGATGAAGAGACAAGAGGTTGGGTCTGGGGAGAGGCTGAGGGTGCCAACACAGGGCTGGTGAATAAATTTAGCAGCAAGGGAGAAGAAGAAGAAAACAATGTCTGGATTTGGAAGCCTGGCAAGTTCTCCACTTGCTGCTCGGCTTGTGTTTAGCAATTCTGATGTGCTACTGAGCAGACAGCTCAGGCTCAGGACGACTACTCTCCCTCAGTCCCTCTTCAGCAGGCAATGAAAGCAGGCTCCACTTTGAAAATCTTCCCCCATCATGCAAACTGACACAGGCATGCTTTTCAAAAACCCACAGCCAATCTGTTGATCATTACTTATTTACAAAGGCCTTCGGGCAGAAAGTCCTGTAAAAACCATACTTGATACGGTATACACTAGCTTTTTCTGCTTGTGGAAAAAAGTACCCCTAAGGCTACCTCAAACCATCACTTTCTATTGCACATAAAATGTACCGCGTAACACTAAAGTATTTAATATATATGGTATAATATATCTACAGGAAAGGCATTTGTGTAGAAGTATGTTACCCTGTATTTCGTAATTTGATGTTTTGCTGAAGGCTATGACTTGAAAAAGCCTGCACCTAGTACAGAGGACCTGTCATCTCAGTACCCAAGAGCCAATAGAATAAAGAAGTACCCTTAAGCAGCAAAACTTTGACACAGCTTTGAAGCATATGAAAACAGTATAACTCCCCAGAATTATTATTACTCAAGATCAAAGAAATGAGGCATACTTTACATAGCAAACAGGGACAGTGTGTTCAGCTCTCTCTCTCTCTTTCCCTTTCTTTTTATTTCTTCTTCCACAAAATTTGGATTTGGTGGGTGTGTGTGTATGAATCTCCCACATGTTTAAAACTTTTAAGTGGTTAAAACTATTAGCACCAGCTAAGAAGTCTGTCCAAAGGTAAGTAAATTGAAAATGAGGCTAGCATGACAACTGGCACCATAAAAATGAGAAGCTTGCCAGTATGTTCATTTTATTCTTCCTCATAAACTGTAAACAAGCATGTAAATCAGTGTCATATGGGCAAGGCTAAGCTAACAGGAAGGCAGAAAACTTTTAATGATACATTAAACAGGAGTAGATGGTCAATAGGAAAAAGAAACTAAAGCAGGGTGCATTTTCCTCTGTGAATCAATCTCATGTTCGGTTCTGTACTCTAAACAGAGATGAAGATGATTTCTAGAAGTCACGTCCTTGAATGTACCTTATATTGCAGTAACAATAAACTGTAAAATGGATGCTTCCGTAACTGGCCAAAGAAAATTCTAGTCCACTGACTGAAATACAAATAAGGGTATTAGCTGTAGCCAGAATCGTTAAAGGGACAAAATAAATTTCATCAGTGATTTTATATACGGAAAGAACTATATATTCACAATTTTTTTTCACTTAACCTCTGTGACTACAGAGCAGTTACATGTATACATACACCCAAAACCCAAACTGAATGTGTCTGTTTATGTATATAAATAAGTTTACATTTTTCTGTGTGTGTATATATAGATATATAGATATATAGATATATATCTGTGCAGTGGAAAATATCTGCTATGGTATTTAGTTCCGGATACAACTATGGACTGAGGTTCCAGCCTAGCTATTTAGATATGCAAAACCAGAGCAGGAACGCCCTCCTTGTAGAAACTCCATGTCTGCTTTCTGATCCTGCTCTGACTGACTTGAGCAGGCAAAAGGTGAAGCACCTTTTGCAAATGCTATACTACTTTAATAGATTCCAATTCCTTGCTGCTTTTGTAGTTTTACCAAATCTCTTCACAGTATCACAGTATCACAGTATGCTAGAGATTGGAAGGGACCTCGAAAGACCATCTAGTCCAATCCCCCTGCTGGAGCAGGAACACCTAGATAATGTTACACAGGAATGCGTCCAGGCGGGTTTTGAATGTTTCCAGGGAAGGAGACTCCACAACCTCCCTGGGCAGCCTGTTCCAGTGTTCTGTCACCCTCACTGAGAAGAAGTTTCTTCTCAAGTTTAAGTGGAACCTCTTGTGTTCCAGTTTGTACCCATTACCCCTTGTCCTATCATTGTTTGCCACTGAGTAGAGCCTGGCTCCATCCTCGTGACACTCCCCCTTTATATATTTATAGACACTAATAAGGTCACCCCTCAGTCTCCTCTTCTCTAAACTATAGAGACCCAGCTCCTATCATTGTTTGCCACTGAGTAGAGCCTGGCTCCATCCTCGTGACACTCCCCCTTTATATATTTATAGACACTAATAAGGTCACCCCTCAGTCTCCTCTTCTCTAAACTATAGAGACCCAGCTCCCTCAGTCTTTCCTCATAAGGGAGATGCTCCACTCCCTTAATCATCTTCGTTGCCCTGCGCTGGACTCTCTCCAGCAGCTCCCTGTCCTTCTTGAACTGAGGGGCCCAGAACTGGACACAATATTCCAGATGGGGTCTTACCAGGGCAGAGTAGAGGGGAAGGAGGACCTCTCTCGACCTACTAACCACCCCAGGATGCCATTGGCCTTCTTAGCCACAAGGGCACAGTGTTGGCTCATGGTCATCCTGTCGTCCACTAGGACCCCCAGGTCCCTCTCCCCTACACTGCTCTCTAACAGGTCGTTCCCCAACCTATACTGGAACCTGGGGTATATATCATTTTATACCAGTAGGCCTTTCTATGATTATGTAGTTTTCTTCCATAGGACAAACTACCTCTAAGAGGTAGAGGTAGAGGTAGTTTGTCCTATGGAAGAAAACTACATAATCATAGAGGTAGAGGTAGAGGTAGTTTGTCCTATGGAAGAAAACTACATAATCATAGAAAGGCCTACTGGTATAAAATGATATATACATAGCAACAGTGGGAAAATATCACTAACAAGATGATGTTTTCATCACCCACTTTCAGAGCATGTACTACCCTCTTAAAAATGCCTGTATTTCATAATTAATGTGCTTTTAGCCTGACTAAAATTGCATTAGTTTTGAACTTTGCTTTGGCAAGTACATAGATTATTTGACTTTTTTATCAGTCTAAATCAATTAAGAGAAATTTGATTTCAATCGACAGGATAAAAGGAAGGTAATATTCAGGTTCATTTTTGATTGTGATGATACATCTCACATATGGCCTTAAGTACAGAAAACAGTACTCAGAGAGAATCCAACAAAAAGAGAATTGCCTGAGGCAAAGTAACCACATGAGTTCCCCTGATTGGTTAGTGCTATCATTAGTGCCACTGCTGTTTAAGAACTACACACGGACAGGACAGGGTGACAGCTAAGACTTTAAAGCCTATGTATTTTTCAAACAGCTTTTCAAACTGTTTTTTATGACAGAATTTTTTTTCAGCTCTATCATTAACTGCTGACAAGCTGACAGAATAAATACTTCAGCCTTTCAGACGCGATCTAACAATCTTTTTTTTCCATCCCCCTCCCCTTATTTTTGATGTGGGGGGAGGAGAAGAGCAAGGAAGAAAGAAAGGAGATGAAGATACAAGTTTCTTACAGTCTTACCTCATCAGTTTGGGTGAGGAGTTGGGTGAATTTCGCATGCCTCCATTTCGCTGCTTTTTTTTGGGTGATAGTGTTGACGGCTGCTCATCTTCAACTGGAAATATAAGGAACTCATGAGATTAAGTACTGCTCGAAGTGCAATGTGAAATACAAGTGAAGTAGCAAAGAACACACACTCTATCTCCATTCACGCACTGATACTTCATTGCTAACATAGGCCCAACAGTAATAAAAATCAAATACATGTTAGTGAAAGAGATTGGTTTGAAGGAGAAGCAGGGAAAATATCACGATTTTGAACACAGGCTTTCAAATTGGTTTCATACTTCAAAAACAAAGGAGGGGGGACAACATTTGAGTTATTCTTAAGAGTTATTTTCAGTTAATCTGCACTACAGAAAAGTAGAATTAGTGCTCTGCTATAGTCCCAGAAAGACAAAGTACTAAAAGAGAAAGACAAAGCTGCCAGCCTGCTTTTGCTAATGAACTAGACACCAGTTGGTTCTTGCTGCTCACATGCCAAACAATAGAGTCTTCACGAAGAGATGTAAAATATTCAATGCCTTGATGTTCAATGATTCAGTTAGTTGAGAATGTGAATGCAGCCTGCCATTGTGCAGAAATCTCCAGCACAAGTCAGACCTCATCATTCTACCCTTCTCACAAAAGGGAGTTTTAACAGGAGTGAACAGAATGAGGTTGAATGGAAGTGGGGACACAATACCTGTATAACAGAGGATGCATGTGTTATGCAATCTTTTAATGAAGATGAGGTGCATTTTCAATGACAGATCCAGATGTAAAATCAGATACAGTTTTGCCAATCATAAACTACTCTTGGATAACCTATGTCACAATACACACTGCTTAAAGAAGTGCAGTTTTGAATTACTCATCAGTAACAATTAACCATCATTTTTCCTGCTTCAAGATTCTTACTGCACTTGATAATCTGCACATGAGGTTTGCATGTGCTATCAAACAGAATTATCTTATGCCTGCTTTCTCAAATTCATACTAACATTAAATTATTCAAATAAAAAGAAAGAAAAATACACCTTTTTTTCATTCTATTGTTAACTGAAAAATGTACTAGTATATAATATAACTGATGCCTAGGAAGCTGTTACTTTAAAGCTAAAAGGAAAGAGATTATTATTAGTAGTAGTAGCACAGCAGCTATATTACAAGAGCTTAAGACACATTAGCAGTGCACAAGCAGAGGCTGGAAAAAAAAAAAAAAATTCTACCTGCAACAAGCTATGCTGGAAGAACAACAAAACCTGATATATGTCATCTACCCTGGGCCTATATGGGAAGAAATTAACACTATCCTTCTGCTATAACCCTCTTTTGACACTATTTTATTACAGGCTGAATTCTAGCCATCATGTGTTTGCCTAAGTTGGCTATGGCACTTCATTTTACTTTGTCAAGACCAAAGGACTGGGCTCTGAAAAAGCAGATGTGCTGACTTTTTAACTGATCTGACATCATCTAACACATCAAGGGAATCAAAATAACAGAAAATATCACAGAAGAAAAACTAAACAAAAAAAAAAAATGCCACCTACCTCCCCCAAAATGCCCCCAAGAATGGTGCAATGAGTCTCTAATAATAATTTTTTTTTTTCACTAACTCAACTTTCTTTTCTTCTTTGGACACCATCCCCAAAGACAAAGCCATTTTCTTCATATCTGACTTTTGTTTTTTCCAAAGTCAGGGTTCTATAGTGGAAATGCTTACTGCTGATTAGTCAAGAACCATTTTTTGTTTGTCAGAGAGATAAATAAGTCCATAGAAAATTCTCAAAAATATACAAATTGAAATTTTCTTTCTGTAACTGTTTGGATTAAGCTAAATCACTTCAGCAGTTAGCTATTTGTAATATGAAGTGAATATGCACAGAATTATTTTCTTAGTACTATTTTTCTATTTCCATTTCTACTATATTTATATTTCTATTATGATTATAACAAAGTACCAGAATACCCTCTGCAAATCACTCATTTGGAAATGGCCTAGTCTTGTTTTAAACTTGTCTATCAAAAAGTTATTTTTGTGCTACTCCACACAGACAATATGTTGCTTTCAAGATATACACTGTTCTCTCTTGTTCTTTATAGGATATAAATATTCAGCTCCAATCTGATGAATCCACCACTTAAAAGACCAAAGAAACAAGAAACATGCAAAATGTTCCTTCCAGAAGCCAGCTACAACTGATACATTTTGCTCTCTTGGTAGTAAAAAGTTCTAAATTTCACTTAATTTAATCTACTTCCATGGGATTACAGAATGTTTGTTGACAGATTTAGTACTGCACCATAAGCAAAGTCTATTTTTACACCATTTTAACAGTTTAAGGAAAATATATAGCCATCAGGATTGTGTGTAAAATCTTAACACAAGTCAACTGTAGATGGTATTACAGACAGAAATATTTCCATGAACAACAGAAAACACTGTTAAAAAAGAATAATTTTCCAAGTTTTCAGCTAGCTAATAAAACTCCTGTCTGATTCTTACAGATACTGCAAGTTTGTACAATAAGTATCTTTTGTACTACATGGTCGAACATTCGTGTTCTCCAGTGTGGCCAATTGTCCTGTCCCTTCTGTCCAATTAAATACCAAAGTCTTACTAGTATCAACAAACAGAATAACCATTTCTACAATTAGATTTCTAGCAGTCTGCATTTATTTTTGTTACTGCATCTACAACAAATAAGCTCCCTCTTTTGATACATGCTTCTCATATCCAAACTATGCTATTGTCACCAACTGCCTGGAAAGTCCAAGGTTAATGTGTCTCATTAGTTAGTATCTGTTAGAAAAGCCTTCTGAGAGATCTCAATTGTTGCTAAAGCAATGCCTTGATTAAGCAACGAAGCCATTTATTCTCACTGCAGCAATGAAAGGTGATCTATCTTAATCATATCACATCCAAACAATATTTTGTTTGGATGTGAAAACTGTGCATAGACTTTACAGGGCAGCTGCATATTAGAAATGCAGCTCCATAATAATGGGGGAAGGAAATCCATGCAGCTGAAATATGTGAATGGTATATAATGGACACCATTACTTATGGCTTGGTTCCCAAAAGTGTTGCAATGATAACTCACAAGTCACTTCTTAGTATTAAGTGAGATATAAAACATATTTAATTATTATCCTTCAGATACTCTTAGCAATTTCCTGCATATTTAAGGAAACAGATCTAACAAAATTTTTAGTAAAGCCATAAAAGGTCATTTTATTTTCATGGTTCCTGTGTCTGCATTCATTAAAAATGGAGTCCTAAATTTGCTTGTTCATATGAAAGACAAACATATTTCAAAAATGATATATGACAACTCAACTCTGATGTTGTATGCTTGACCTAGTGTTTTTGTTAATAAGTCCTTGTTTTTAGTATTTTGACATCTTTAGGCATGATTACCATTAAAATACAGTTACAGTATGCAGACTTTTTTTTTTCACCAGCTTTCATCAAAATTTCAAATAAGTTCAAGAGCTGGACACAGAATTTTATAGAATCAGAACTCCAGCTTCTGAGTTCTAATAAAATTCAAGAGCTTGTTTGTGCATCCCTAAGTATAATAACACATTACGTACTGTTGTAATAATGCAGTGCTCACTTGTCTAATAGGCAAAGAATCTAACAGGTTTACAGTTCAGGAAGACTCACTGCTAGAAAAATGTCAGGCAAGCCTAATGAGGTTTCAGATGCTTCAGTTTATACTGGAGTTTAATTTAAAAGTTACACTGATTTTTCAACATGTTTACTTATTCTTGTGTAAAGAGGATTCATAATTTCAAAGTCATAACATCCAGACAATGCTCTATGAATTGATTTAAGATGTGCTGGTAATTTTTACAGCCTTAATGTGGAACTGAACATCTGTAACAACATACTACTTGACTTTTATCTTCATTCCGTTTTTAAAGCAAAATAAAGGGAATGTCTTTCAGAAACAGTCGACAAGTTCATAGCTTTTTTCTTTGTCATTTTGTTACTATTTTCTAAATAAATCTGTCTCCTTCACTGCCTCTCCCAGGTCACTAGCAGAACAGTTTACAGACACTTTTACATACCCGAAAGAGATAGGATTTGAAATAACATCTATGTTACTGAACATCTCATGGACTGGAATACCTGGTAAACTCATTCTCTCTAGCATGTAAATGCTTCAGAGCAAATAAACCTTATGAAAGGTAAAGCACAAACCACCCAGAAACATTAGTTGACTAGCTGAATTGATTAACTTATTAATCACCACACCTGGAGAAATCCACATCTGGAAGCACTTAATAGAGCATTAGTAATGTCATAGTCACATTGAAAACAGACTGCAAGACCATGCACAAACCAATATGTATTGCTTTATGCATCCAGCTACAGGGCTACCTACGGAGATCTTGGTTCAACCCAGGCTTTTGGGAGTGGTAGCGGTATTTTACAGGCAAGCTGAGTGCCCTTTGCAATCTACAGTATGTAGATTTTCCTTGTTCAACAGAACTCAATAAGTTGTTGGGTAGGATGAGGCTCCCTTTACGGTTATTAACAAGTGGAACAGGTTCCATGACTCCTTCAGTGGACTTGGCACCAACCAATGCATTAGCAGTTGCATTCTTGAATTGATATGAACATTTTGGGTAACTTGATCTAGCTGCATTCTTTACTTCTAAACAATAAGAAAAAGTTTAAATTAATGTCTTTGTATTAAAAGTTATTTCAAACTACAAACATGAATCAGTTTTGATATTATGTGGAAATACAAACTTTAAACCTTAAAGTATCAGTTTCTGCTCTTGAAATAAAGGCTTATTCAGCTAACTCAAGTGTTTTTCTAAAAATGCCTTTTTATAGAAGAATACTTATAAAAGGATTATTCCACAATCTTATCATCTTTAAGCAATAATCCCATCCTAGGGTAACTGTGTCTGAGGAAACACTTATTTCCCACGTGTTGATGAAGGCTTTGAGATATACTAGCTGTGGAAGATGTTTATTCCTTTGAATCCATTGAAAATGACAGGGGAGGTAGAGCACTCTGCTGCTACTAAAATAAATAAAGAGTTGTGGAAAAAAGTAAGGCCAAGACTTCAAAATTGTGCAAGCATACTTATGGAATTAAACTGACGCTTAGAAGCCTACATAAAAGTTGCTGGGTATTCAGAAGTGCTGAATATTGTGAATTTCAGGAGTCATACATAGCACCTCTGAAAAGAAAGCTAATAAATTTAATTTCTAAATATGGATTTATCTTAAAACTGTGATTCTTAGTCTTCCATTACTAATAGAACAAAGCTAATTAAACAAAGAAATCCCACGTTTTTATACCACTAACAAATTACAAACTCCATAAAAGACAATTACAAAATGCTTTTCTGGTAAAAATATGTAGTGATGATCTTCTAATGCTCGTTTCATTCTGAATAAGTATATTATAGAGAAGAAAGTATATTACTGATTCACTAAGACCTTATATTCTGTTATATATAATGAGGTGAGGAGGTTAGGTAGGGAGTAGTTTGTGGACTGATAACCTTGCAGTATTACTTCCATGTGTTTCAATTGCCTTCAAGTTTTCATGGAGAACTTCGAATAGACAGTAGCTCCAAATTATTTGAGGAGGTTGGCACGGTTTTGGGCATCTTTATCTCATTTACCATCAGCTAGAAATACTGTCTGGTAATGGGAAAGACACATACATAGCATCCACATGCTTTCTATTTATGTTCAGGCACAAAATCTCTCTCACTCATAAAAGAGTAATTTGGATGTCCTTTTCGACAAGGTTCAATTTTTTGGTGACAAAGTATCCATTCCCATTCAACGATCTCTGAATTGATGGCTTGCTACTGCTCTGAGTGAATACAAAAATCAGTGAGAACAGAACTAGTGTCTAACCCACAGTGTTTTTCTGTTCTTTGCTAACAGTAGTAATGTTTAAAGTAGAATGATAATAATACCTACTCATGACATTTCACATAAATTTTAAATCACTGGAGAACAGCATATATCTGATTAGCAAAATTTCCACCAAAATGCTGTGTATTATATTGGATACAATACTTGAAAATTATCAATCTTACCTTGGGGTTACTGGGGTTTTGTCAAATCTTGAACTTCTATCTTTGATATTCCTCTAGTGAAACAATTTTCAGATGGTAAGATATCACTGCAGAAACTTACCTCCCTACATAAGTCACTGGTCAAGCATGTATTTGAACAGTTTGAAGTACATCAATTCAGTTCTATCTTTAATAACATTTGAATAATCTTTAATATAATAATATTTGAAATAATCTTTATAAATCTACACGCCTACATCAAAGTACCTTCACATACAATGGAAGAAGACCAAAACCTATTAATAATGCTTATCCACCCTCCAATTAAGTTGTTTAAGAAACATCATAATCTTTTCACAGTCTTTTCTGGAGTACAAGAAGTGATGGTTTCAGATACCAGACCTGACTATTAAGCACTAAACTTCCATAATAATGTATGTCTTATGGCATATTTCATGCAGATATAAGCAAGCTTTCCCAAGAATTTGTGCTTGCAGTGTCACAGCATGAGCCAGAACTAAAATACCTTGTCTTACAGCTTGAGCTTGGCATCATATTTAATAGCATCACATGATCGTGTTCAGCATGAAGGCAGACAGAGCTGCTTAAAATACATCCTACTTGCTTTTATTTCCAACAGTGTACTCAGGTACTACCACTGAAAAGCAACACATTAAACACTGTGGATAACAGAATTGCCATTTTTGTCAAATTATTCCAGATTTTAAAAGTTCTAATGACCCGTTTCACCCCATAGAGGGTGAAATAACCTCCTGCCTCAGAAAAGAGCTCAACTGCTTCAGAAGAAAATGGAAGAAGCCCCATAGTACAGGAGTATGGAGTACCCTGTTCATAGGACAAGTTTCTTTCTGACTCCAACAGTTTATGGCTTATGTCTTTTTACTCAATCTTGAAAAGAAAAGAGTACAGTATAATATCTGAATAACCTATCTTTGATAGACATAATTATCTCTTTCTCCATTCCTTTCATAAAATTACATATTTTTTATCTGGGAAGAGTAAAACTGGCTGTTCTAAATAGTCTGTCAATTTGTACATGCACACTGTGCCACAAACACAAGCACGTTACAATACACATGGAACTACACATACCAGCACAGATGTGCAATTTTGAACACAAGAGGTTACTATGCTTTCAGATTAAGCAGTATTATGCAACTCAGTGAGAAATACACCATCACTTCTACAGATACATATTATAATATGCAGAACCTAAAATGGTTTTTATAGCACCCTGTTGTTCAGCAGTTTCTTTTTATTAATAATTAAAAATCTGATAGGGTGCTTGCCTCACTATGTGGGCTGACTTCCACAGAAAACATATCTGGGAAACAAAGATTGCTGTTAATTATATGGAACTAAATACATCCTTACATGCTGTCACTGCCTCACTTGGTTTGGCAACAAAACTGTCTGGATTGGGCTAATTTTTTGTACCACTGTGCAATGTTAAACCACAACCTCCAAATCCACAAGCATTCTCTTCCAAGTATGTGATGAGTTTAGCACCAGCATCTAGTCACAGATCAGTTTCTCTTTATCTAATATGACATAAACCTTTATTTTTAATGCAAATGGTCACAGGACAAGCATGCTGCCTGCATTACTTATTCTGCCAAAGTTCATTAGAACTATTCAGGACACTTGTCATGTATCCATAAGGCTTTACCATTGTTATCTGAGAACAGAAACAGTTACTGGTCATTTTGAGAGCAAATTTGAATAGCTCTTTGAGCATGGCAAACAATGAGGAAGTGGATAAGAGTAGAGTAAGAATAAGGAATTCATGTTTTCTGTAGTATTTCCTAATGGCACTGTGGTGGGTGCCACTGGGGTGGACACTACCTACTTTTGGTAAATGCTGTACAGAACTTGCCCAGGAAATCTGTCAACATTAGACAGATAAAAAAATCATATCTATAAAATGTGAGATATTAATGCAATTTATGCAAACATATTTTGAAGCTGCATGCATTCTTATTTCATTTCCCCACCCTCAAGACCTCCCTTTCAAGCTCAATGAATATACACTTGCCTACAGTCTGTATTATGGAATCGTGCCTATTTCTATTTCTCTACATTTTATTTATTATAATGAAGATAATTTTAAATACAATCTGCAAGTCCCTGAACATTTTTAAAACAACCAATGTAGTTAATCTAATGCCTATGGCAATCTCTATTTATTCTTTGTGAGCATACACTTGCCATAACTTAAAACTGGGCTGAGCTTTAATTTAAATGTAACAAGGCAGAATACCAGTACAGTGCTTTCAACAAAATGGCTGAAACTGGCTTCAGCATGATTTGCCTGGAAGGGAAGATGAAAATGTGTTTTAAAGGAGAAAAAAATATCCTGACCAAAACCAGACATTCTAAACAACCACCACTGATACCCACTGCTCCCTTCCACCCCCATCTCTATCAGCTGCTAGGCTTTCAGCACCATTTTTCGCCAGACACTAGCACAGTGTTTTCCTTCATAGTCAGCCATCAGCCAGAGCTGTCAGTTGCAGATACTTCATTTTTGTTTCAGTCTAATTCATACTGCACTCCCTTAATCTCTGCAGTGAGTAATGCCATGTTGCTGTACAGATATGCCAGATCCAGCACTAGGAGTATAGAGAGTGTTTTTAACAGTTAAGCTATCCTGGTGTGTAAAAATATTTTATTTCTCCCCCCAGCTTAACTGTTCTCTTTCTCCTCAGCATCTTCCCAGCTGACCTCCAAAGGAGCAATCACGGTTCTGCAGTCTGGCATGTCTTCAATGAAGTTCAGCTTTCACATGGTCAGTGAAGACAAGCTGCAGCTTTGTATTACTAAATGCAAATAATCAATATGCTGATTGAGCTTTTGGCTACCAGAGTTCTTCTGATGGGAGTGACAGTGAGCATGACTTCCCTCTTTCAACGACAAGCCTGTTTAGGCTTTGCTACCTACCACTTCGTGAATCAGGCAACTGAAAATACCCACAGCAATTCCTCCAAACTGTCAGCTATTGCTGTGATTCCACCCAGCACTCCCTGTACAAGACAACAGATTAACCATTAGGCTAGATATGTTGAAAATATACAGCTTCAACCTTTCCCCAGCTAGCTCAGAGCAATATATAGATGATTATTTCAACCGTCAGCTGCCGCATAGACTTAAACCCCTGCACAATAACTCCTGGATTCATCTGCCCCTTGTCAAACTTGCACAGCTTTACTTTGAGCATACATAGTGTGGCAGTTTCACTGCGGATCTAGAATAATCCAGACGGCTGCTGTCTCTTTGTTAACAGGAAGCTAAACTGATGAGTTTGTAATGCATTTCTTATCAAAGATAGTTTCAGGAAAGAAAATGTGGCCAATCAGTTTGGGTTGAAAATTAGCATAATCTTGAAATATAGTTTAATTGGAACATTTGTTATTTGTTAGGACAATAATATTATTCCTCCCCTTTAAAAATCACTTTATGCTAATGAACTATTTATTTTACAAATTTACTTGATTTTTTGGTGGTATCAGATGTAATGAAATCGTTGACTAGAAACTAGAATACAATGGTGCTTGATGAGACACAAGAATGTTAATCTTAGAAACTG